GAAGTATTACAGCATGGGGTACTAGGCGGACGCGGGCGCACTTGATGGTGACGAACATTACGCTGCAGGCACCCGCAATGGGCGCCAGGGAGGAAAATTGAGAAATGAGAAACTTTTATTGGCATCACTCGTTGACAAGGAAAACCAACCATTCAGGCACAGCATAACCAGCCAAGTTTTATTTCCTGCGCCCGTACTCTGTGAGGAGAATTGATGGCCTGGAGCATCCCGTACGCTTGGTGTGAGTTTCATCCGTTTCGAAGATTGGTTGACACACTTCTTCAAAGTCTTATTCCTGTCGAGATATGATATTCCTTTATCAATTTATAATTTTCAGGTTGCTGGTCATGGTTTGCCACAACCCTATTCAATAATTAAATCAAGTATAAAATTCGGCCCATCACTGGGACTCAATGGAAATTCTGCAACTTTGAAATTTATTTCTGCGAACATGAACTGTCTAAACCGATTGCGTTTAGATGTACCTGATAGTGCTTGACGCAGCAGTTCAGAATATGTCATGGTCATACTTGTAACACAAATATCCGCGGAGGAATTCATCAACGAAAATCGAAAAATTTCGGCCCATCACTGGTCGATCACATTACGCTCGCAAGTTGCAAAGACCGAAATATCGTCTTTGCATCCATTTCATTTGTGAGACCTCCTCTCGCATCCGCACCGTGAAAAGTAATCATGAAAACAACAAAAATTAAAAGGTTAATCGTGAAGCCCTGGGCAACCATTCATATTCAAAATGGTTAAAGCCAAGGCGGGCCGCGGTAAGTCGTGGTGTCCCTCTTCAGTGGACCTGCTGCTTGACATCACTGTCGTGTCAAGAACCAATAGGAAAAGGTTGCCCAACATTTCGGCACCTGAGGCGATTGCCCAGTGTCTGCCGCATCGGGATGTAGAAGCGCTAAAGAGAAACTTCCTGCTTCTCAAGAATGTTCAGAAACCAACCGGCCATCCCTACTGTCCCCCAACGTCCTGCGTGCAAAACGTCTGTAAAGCGAAATCGAGAGCTCTGTGGCGGTCCTGTCGATGGATGCAACCATTTCGATGGATGATTAACCTGAAGACAGCGACGACTGTAGCGGTACATGACAACCACTTCAATCTCTGTTTTAATGAGCTCCGAGATGACACCTTTTAGTCGGCCACGCTGCCGTCACATCTACCAACTCAACTGGATCATCAACACGTTGAGGACGGTCGAACGGTTTTTCAACCCTCCGAGATTCAAGCGCTGAGCGACAAGCTCAAACATAAACAGCCCGATACCGGTTGTTTACTGTCATACACGGCAAAAAAGAGACGCTCAATTGGCAAGTACATTGAGCGAGCGTCGGAGTCAGATGCGAAGGCGTTGTTCGACACGATGACATTCCTTATGGTTATGAGCGAGCGGGATGCCAAGCGTGAAGAGAGGAGGTAGGAGCGACAGGAAAAGACCGACAGGTTGCGTGAAGCGCGGGTGGAAAAGGCCGATAGGGATCGGAAAGCTCACCGCGACCAATTGCAGTTTCTCCTTCTTGGCAAAGTTTTGGGGAAAATGTATCGAGTTAACTGTAACATGTAATTCAGTTAAGTGTGTAATTCAAGGACAGAATATTATCAAGAGTGATGAATTGCATATAGATGCTCCAACGTCAGAATAATCACAATTGGGCCAAATTATCTCTACAAATGACACGACATAATGCACATTATCTAGTCAGATTATTTGGATTTTATAGGACGGCCGCGGGATTTTGTGATATATGTCAAAAACATGATGATATCTCATTCTTCAGTTCCAAGGTTGATGGCCATAGTATAAAAAATCAAAGTTTAGTGTGGCACAATCTTAGCATAATAAATGCATATTTCTTAATGTTGACTATTGCGACCTAAGCACCAAATACATTCTTGATTTGACTGAGTCCCGTTCGGTGAACTCTGAAGTTGTAGATCTGAGAGTGCGCCCATTCCCCACTCTGCAGCCTGCCTGAGAGATGTTATGCAGTCACTCATTGTCTTCAGAGCCAACCGATCGCGTGGAGGATTGCAATCGAGGTCACCTTCTTCCAGTGGGGTGATAATTCGACCTGAGAAGCGACCACTGAGAGCATCTCCACCGCATTCCAGTAAATCGACACACCAATATCCGCATAGTGTTCGGATAACAACCTCCAGTATTGTAATGGACTGATAATTCAGGATAATTCGCACCGCAAAAAGCCCAACTCCAGCCAGTAAATTCACCATCATTCGACCAGCCTGAGTGGAAACCCGCGTTAATTTCGACTATGGAGGTATGCTTATCACCAGGAATGGCACGCAATGATGCGCAACATGCATGCATATACACAGTGGAAACCCGCGTTAATTTCGACTATGGAGGTATGCCTATCACCAGGAATGGCACGCAATGATGCGCAACATGCATGATAAATTTTATGTACACTGTACAAAGTTATCCTTATCACCAGGAATGGAATCAACTGTAGTTTCTTGTGAACTAGTAAACCGAGTACGGTGATTACAGACATAATAGGCATCCGCCAGCTCGATAGGACTCGCGCTATTGACCTTGGTAATGCAGCAGTCAATGGCGCGGGTCCTGTCGAGTTGTAGTCGATGAAATGGGTCCTGCAACATTAACAACACGGCTACCGGATTCTGGCGCTCAGTCGCTCCATCGGCTTGAGCTCTACCGGCGGTGGTCATGGCTTGGCGAATATCCATAATCTCCGTGAGGGACTTCCAAAACGTGCTTGTAAACTTGGGGTCACGGTCGCTTATGATCATTGCTGGTAGTCCATGGTGGCGAACAACATATTCGAAGAATTCTTTCGCCGTTTGGGGTGCGTCGACATCTGATCGCGTCGGGATGTACTTTGGCCGCTTGGAGAGCTTGTCTACGACTACCAAAATAGCATCATAGCCTTTTGACACGGGCAAACCGGTGATCCAATCCGCTGAAACAGTTTGCCAACACTCTTCCGGCGCGGGAATGGGAATCATCTTGCCATTTGCACGCAGACTGCTTGTCTTGTATCGGCTACATGTTTCACAAGTCGCGACGTATAACTTCACGTCTTCGACAAGAGTGTTCCAGTAATACCACTGCGCTACACATAACATTGTGCGTCGAGTTCCAGGGTGT